GCTGGGATCTGCTGTGTGGGACTGTGGGCAGGTTTTTCACCTCTGTTAGGCTCAGTTTTACATTTGCAGAAATGTGAATCATTTATAAACTTGTTTTAGCCATAGAGGTTTTACTTTAAATGGTTGCAATTCAGTATGGCAATCTGGAGCTGCTCTGATGGTCCAGGTTCTAAGCAGAGCATGAAAACCTTTGGCTCATATGACCTCGTGGGTCTGTTGTAGTACAGACATTTTATGAGTATGGAGAGAATAAATTTTAGTTAGTGTTCTACTTCTACCAGGCATTGCCATTTAAGCCTTTTACTTCTAATTGTGGAATGAAAGGCTTTGGTCCATCTTGAAGGAATTTCAGGCATTAAGCAAGCAAACAGGTGGGAGGACTTTGGGGAGAGCTCTGAAATTAATCTGTGCCTGCTTGTAAGGTTAATCCAGAGGACCTGAAGGTAAACCTGGTTTAGTCTCTGAACGTAGCTGGAGGATGGGGGAGGTTGGTTGAGAAAGGATGATCCGCTGTCTCTCTGCCCAGACAGGTTCCTCCCTCCCAAGAGCCAGCTGCAGCTGTTGGCGACCTGTTCAGGGATCCTTTGGGGTGGAGGAGCATCTTGGGTTTGCACACATTTGTCCTCCAGACTTCCCCACCCCAGCGTGCGTCCATCAAGAGGGCTGCTCCATCTGCAAAGAGCTTCATGCTCACTCTGTCCCTCCCAGACCACAAGTTCAGTTTCCTGCCCTTTCCTTTGCCGTAACATCTTCGTTTTCTGCCTCGAAAACTCTGAATAAGAGTATTTTTTTGGAATATTTTCTACTGTTTGAGGTATTTTATGATTTCTTTTTATCTAATGTACTTAAAGTTCCCTGTGCTTCTGGGGATGAAGCTTCTAAGTTTCAGCTTTTTATTAGAATGTGTCAAAATCTTACTATTTTAGCAATCTTACTATGTTTCAAAACCTTACTATTCTTATTGATGAATACGACGGTAATATAGCACGGAAATGGTTTATGAGCTTCAACACATGAACGAAAAATGAAAGAAACACTTGTTTAGTATAATGTAATAGCAGTTTACAGTTTCATCCTCACAATAATCATACAGATGGGGCAGAATGAGTATTATTTACCAGATAGCAGATTAAAATCAAAGAGATTAGTTGAAAGTCAGCTCAATTCACACAGCAGTGAAAAATCCATAGGTTTTTAACTCTGTGTTCCATGTTGTCTTTAGTATATTAAATTGCCTCTTTGAATAGTATAATTATAAGGTGATATTAATCTCTTGCAATCTTGTTCACATACATAGTCAACTTTTATAAAATTATCAAGTAGAATCACAATGGACTAAAAAGAAAATATAAATAAAGTAAAAGAGGGAGCTGATATTTATTGAACACCTAGTGTGTGTCTTTATATTCATTAATTACCTCCTCCATTCAGTCAGGAATTTATCGTCTAATGGACCTGTGTCAGTGGCGACGACCGTTAAGCCATTCTTGTAATGAGCTAGCCATCTTCTCCCTATTCTCAGGTGTTTATGACAACATACACCTAAGCAAAATCACCCAGGGCGTGAGCCTTCCCTTTGCTTTTTATCCACATGATACCTGCTCTCCAAAAGCAGATCCAGCCAGAAATGTGTGTTGAAATAGAAAACAAGAGGTCAAAACAAAACACCTAACCAATGATGAATTCTGAAACTTTTCTCTAAATACTTCCTGTGTGTTTGTTGTAAATGTTTATAAAAGGTAAAAATATTTTCAAAGAGAAATAACATCACTGTGAAAAAATCTCTTACTGGAGTGCCAAGAAAGATTACGTTTAAACTCAGCCTTGAAATATTATACTCTTAGGAGTGGAGAAGAGTGAACAGATCCAAGTAATATGGGTAGAATTGACAGGTTTTGGTAATTCATCTGATGAGCCAGGGAAGAGTATTCCAGCTACTTCCAGTAACCACCCACCCTCACGATCATATGAGGGCCCATAGAGTGGCTTATGTTTCCTTCTAGGTACATATCTAACTTTAGAGAAGAGCCTTATCAAGGGGGTACATCATTAGTGAGGAACTGGAATGGTTTAGGAAGCTTTCCTTTGTTAATTGATGAACTGGGTCTGTCTGAACTTGGGTTTATAGTCACTGGTTTTTAAATAATTACCATGATGGCAAATTTTTACTAATTCTATCTCAGGCTGACAGTTTGCATCTATTTTTGAAAGTTAGCAAGAACTCTTTCTGAAGCATGAATAGTACCAATTGTCCTAAATTTTCTAACACTGAAGAGCAATCTGGTTTTGTCGTCTCTCTCTGTTTTCTGTAATTCATTCTTCATTGAATGAATTTTCTGCTTGTAAGTTTTCACTTCCTCTGTTGCTGATAGCTTCTGTTTTTTCTCTTCCCATTCATATTCTTGAGCCAGTTTATTTTGCAGAGTCATATCTTTCTGCTGATAGAATTTACTGAGAATTTCTGTTGCAAAGATCTGGCCAAGTTTAGTGAATGAGAACCATGTTCCAACTTCTGTATGCGTTCATACAGCTCGTGCCTGGCTGACAACTCATTACTCAGTTTGGAATGGAAATGGCTACTATCTTTTGTGACAATTGTTAACATCAGTTTTGTCTGATTTCTCTTTTCTGATTTGTTATCTTCTCACTCTGTTCTGCCAGCTATCCATTGCCAAATTCGTCTCATCCATTTCATTTTTATTATTCTTTTTGTCTTTAAAATCAGAAGCAAGATCAAATTATTTGATCTGCACAGTAGACTTCTTCAAACATCAGATTATTCTCTTTGTAAGTAAGATCTTTACCTAGACTTTTCTGAGAGTTTTGTATAATTTATTAGTTCACCAAGCTGTGTATAATGCTCCCTGCAGTTTTCTGATTCCGATAATAATTATAACCTGCTTTTCTTAAATCCGGTATTTTCTTTGTAAATTCATTAGTTTATATTCCATCTTCTCATAACTTAGTTTAAATTCATTTTCTCTGTCAAATATTATGACATTCTTTGTAAAACCCTACCATATTCAATAGATATCTGTCTTGCCAAATGCCATTTCAGTTTGCTTGCATCCTGTTCTTCAATTCTCAATATGACAAGCAGATTTACCACAGCATTTGATTCATTTCTTTAAACCTTCTGATTGAATATTTAATTCAGATATGTTCAGAAATATTTGTATTTTGGTTTTTGATTTCTTCAAAAGATGTGAGTGCTTCTTTAATCATTTTTTTCATAATCTCTCTGTTAAATAAAATAAAAATTTATTCAAGTTATTTCTTAAACATTTGTGCAATCTATTGTTTTTATTTGATGAAATCTACTGTTGAAAGACACATTCTTCAGGGGGAAAATGGCAAAGAAGCTAATTCCCAATAAATAAGTAATAATTAGAGGCCTCTAAGACATGTTGTAAAAATCAGGGCTGGGCCTTTCTGGTACCTTTGTTGTAGGTGAGACAACAGTCAGTCAAAGTACTTTCCATTATAATTTCCCTCTGGTATTTCCTAACTTTTTTTTTTTTGTCTTTGAATATTCCTAAGTTTCTCCTTCCACATAGTTAGGGTGAACTATTTTTACATGCCACTTGAAATATAAGTTAAATCATAGGACTACTATATTCAGTTTTGGAAAATTCTCATCTGTCATCTCTTCCACAATGGCTTCTAATGGTCCTACCATGTGAACCACAGACATTATAAGTATATAGTGGTTGCTAGAGAGTTCTTAGTTTAAGTGATGTTGTACTAGAAAAAGTATAATTCTTAGTCTTAAGGAAGTTTTATATATCAGATTATGTCTCTATGTGTATGTGTGTGTGTATGTTTGAGACTTACTCTGTGTAAGGGATTGGGAGGAAACTAACTGCCCCACTGATGTTTTTATTTCTCATGATAGTGTTTCCATGTGGGAGCTGGTAGCTCAGGATCACATTGAAAGTCGCCTGGATACTAAGGCCTGTGCTGCTTGTGTCTTGAACTTTCTAAAGTTTGGAAGTCATCAGTCCTACTTAGCAGCTCATTCTTTAAAATCAGGCAGTTCTGTATTTTCCTTGGCTTTCTTCTCCTGGCAAATATTATAAGACCTCAATTCTCATTGTGGGCTAATTATTCTCTTCTATTTGCCTGAACCATAATTCAGTGCAAGGCTACTCCTGCCCAAGGAAATGAGGACAGAAATTATATAATTGAGAATAATGGCTTGAAAGCCATGAACGTCTAGAATCTTGTGCTAAGTCTGATACATACTAGCTTGGTGGTCTTTACCGGTAACTCACCGGGAAAAAAAAAAAAAAAAGTTGTTTTATTTCTCTGCTTTTAAAATGGGATCATCATAAAGGCTAACTATTTATTGAATGACAATAATGACCTTGCCCTTGTAGAAAAATCAGATCTATAATTACTACCTAAATACTGCCCTATTAAAAAGGTTGTGATTTTATTCAGGTGATTGTTGATCAGTAAAATTCCAATATATTCACATTTAATGAGGTATAAATATTTGTAAGGATTGTTTTCCATTACTAATATATACATTTAACTAACTGCCAACTAAACATTTTCAGAAAATTATGATGGACCTGACTGAAAAGAAACTATAAATCATTTGGACTTAGTACTTTTAAATTATTAATCAGTACTTTAATTATTCATATACTGAAAGGAAATATTCCTTAGAAACATAAAACTCAACACTAACAATTTTCTTAGCAAACTCTTTCTTTACTGATGATATTAAAGCAGGATGAACAAAAATTCCGAATCATTGGTGTTAAGTAACCCTAGATGATCACGTATCTAGAGTAGCTTTTATAATTAAATGAACCTTAAGAGTTTTGCTGAAACACGAAAGACAGTACTGACCTTTACAAATATCTGGTCTCTTTCTTGAAATTGGTAGATAAAAACAATGAGAAAATATATATAAATTATTTACTAGACATTTTGGTGGAACCAGAAAAAAAAGTTAAACTACACTCAAAACATTATCCTTTGTATTTCAGGCCCTCCAGGGAAACGAGGTAAGAGAGGCCGAAGAGGAGAATCTGGTAAGTCTCTCTTTCAGCTGCTCTATGTCACTCATGTTCTGGTTAAGTTCCGGCATCTGTTCTTCCTAATTAATGATAATATTGTCTTGTTGGAGGTTGTATGTGTGCGTTTAAATCTTCTCTGCTAGACCTAGTTGTTTTTTTTTTTTTTTTTTAAATCTTCTTATTTCTATCAAACTGCAGAAAGGGGAAGTTTGCAAAGTATTGTTAATTGCAGTGTAGTAACAATTGGTACCCATTTGGGGCTTATTTACTGGGTCAAGTTAAGTCTGTCCTTTCTGTGTACAATGGAGGGTTTCTCAGCTGCACACAGTGTGATAGCATCAGCCAGGTTTCCATCGATGTAGGTGGTCAGTAAATGTAGGTCCTTTGCAAAAACATCTGCCTTGGGACACTAGGGCACGTGTCTTAGAAAGCTGTGTTGCTATTTTATCCAGTTGGCACAATTTTGTCATGCTTTTACTCCCATTGTTTTCAAAATTTGAGAATGTGTTATCCTTCTTGTACAACCATGGAATTTTATTAATGACAGGAGCCTTAGTAATCAATCCAGAATTTCCATTTTGTAGTTGAGGAAATGGAGGCCCATAGCAGTCAGGTGATTTGGCCAAGGCAGAACTTGAAACAGAACCAATTGTCCCGATTCCTACTTCAGGACATTCTTGCTTTCAGGTCAAATCGCTGTATGTAAAACAAATCTCCAATGTAAAACAGAAAAGTCAAGTAAATTTCTTTTGAAACTGAGGTGATCTGTATAAATGAGTTCACTTACTGTTTTTCTTTTTTTTTGGAAAGTGGCCACATAAAGTCTTATGAGGTCATTAATTCTTCCATGCAAGATAAAGTAATTTAAGATTTGACTCTAGCATGCCATAAATTATTTTTCAGTATTTTCTCTAAATATTTATCAATATTAAAAATAATCAATTACTAAGTATTGAAACAGAAACATTAACCTATCAAGAAGAGCTGATAGCAGATTGATGTGTGGTTTTTTTTCTTGCCTCATGTCCTCTTCCATTTTAAGAAAGATGTAAAAGTAAAAAGTGTTTATGAAAATTTATTAATTTGAGCAGTGTAGTTGCTTATTTTTTTTTTTAAAGAGTGTTATCAAAAGCTACCTTTAAAGCTCATTGAATCTAAATAATTGGAAACTTGTGTAGGTATTCCTTCATAAAGTGTAAAGTTTTCTAATAAAGGATACTGTATAAATTTGTTTTGAGGAAAAAGAAATGATAAAACATTAGTGGAATCAGATAATCATAGAAATGATCTTTGATTGTTGTCAAAAGAAAGAGGATTATGGGGAAAAAGTGAAAAATTTATGCTTATACAAAGTTTCTTAGAAAATAAAAGCCAATTTCCAACTTCCTAGCTACTTAGAACTGGTATTTTAATTGAGCATAATGGTATGTGAAATATTTAAAATTGTCTTACACTTTGCCTGTTTTGATGGTTTTAAAGAAATTTATATAAACATGAGGAACTAGACTTTTATATATTTATAATAGTGTCGAATAAAAAATTCTAAGGACAAATAATAGGTACATTTCTCATTTGGCTGTTTTATCAAACTCAAGAAGTTATATATCAATTCTCTATAACTGGTCTATCATAAATTACCAAATATTCTCATAATTCATACTTATCTAAACTTTTATAAATTAGTCTTTACTTAAGATATATGAACCTCAGTAATTCATAGACAGACTTTAGGCAATCTAAAAATCACTTGAAATTTTATGTAAAATTTTGTGTACAATTATAAATTTTTCTGAAATGGTCTCAAAGGTTCCATGGCCTAAAAACGGTTAAGAATCAGTGAATTTTTTAAAACTTCCATGTCTGTTATATCATGCTGATTATGCTCATATCTTTTGTTTGATCTTAATATTTTGCATATTCACTAACTCATCTCTCTCCCTCTTCTTCTCTCTCCACCTGCTCCCCCGATAGGTCCTCCTGTAAGTACGTTTGCTGCACTTTGGCTTGTTTGCATTTATCAGGATCACGTATGTTAAAACTTTGTTAAAACACAAAAATATAGCCTATATGTCTATTAGAAAAATGTTACTGACCTTTTAAGAGTATACTTAAAGTTTGGAAAATTATTTTTTAAATACACAGTTTTGTGATCATGTGATATGTTAGAATGCAGTGTATGTCCATTTAAATTTGTTTTAAATTTTTTTATTTCCATAGGTTATTGGGGAACAGGTGGTATTTGGTTACATGAGTAAGTTCTTTAGCAGTGATTTGTGAGATTTTGGTGCACCCATCACCTGAGCAGTATACACTTTACCCTATTTGTGGTCGTTTATCCCTCACCCCCTTCCCACCTTTTCCCCTGAGTTCCCAAAGTCCATTGTGTCATTCTTATGCCTTTGCATCCTCATAGCTTAGCTCCCACTTATGAGTGAGAACATACGATGAAAAACATTTATTTCTGATATGATCACACACCAATACCCTCATGAGATTTTTGGATAACTTATGAAGCTTCTGATTTTAAATCCTTTTCCTGGAATTCTGAGGTTTCTTTTGCAAGCAAATCTCCAAGCTATTTCACACTTCTTTTTTCATCTGTTTAAACTTGTATCTGAAATATTTGCATTTGCCAGTCTACCAAATGTAGATGGCAACGTGATCATGGAAATGATACCCCCAGTGAGCTTGGACCAGTCCTCCCTCCTTAGGCAACACTTCTTTTGAAGTCTGTTGGAGTTTTGCCTGCATAAAGAACATGAGATGGAGCCCTTGGAGAGTTTCACTTTCTTTTTTCTTTCCTTGAGTAGGTCATAGCTGCAGCATTCCAGTCTGCTTTGCACTCACAGGAACAGATTATCTTGTCAGCTCTGAGCTGGATGTGTTTTTGAGTAATATGCTGGATAACTGCATCTGACCCCAGTGTTTATACGGTGCACTGTGCATTTACGGTAGCAATGATCATTGGCCTTGAGATATTTTCTCATCCTGGATAGCCAGTTTGCTCCAGGGTTTGCAGATTCCACATTGGCAACTTATCTAACAGGCCAGCATGGTCCAGGGAGAGGGGCTTAGCGTATACTCGTTTACTTTATTCAGAGGAAACATTGGCTTCCAAATATCTTTTGCAGTCTTCCTGCCACGTTCAAGGATGGAACATTAATCATGTTAGAAATGACTTTGCTTCTGTAACTGACTTTCAGCTCTTGCTTAATGCTAGGCAGATGGCATGCCCTAGGTCTAAGAGTCTTTACTTTTTGGCTTCATACTTAAGTCTCTTCATGTTAAGTAAGTAACAAACCACTACTACCCAGAGGAAACTCCTGAGGTTACGGATGGAGTAGAGTGTTCAAGGCTTCTTTTTGTGGAATCCACATTAGCTATGCCAAGAGTAGTTAAATCTCATTTCTGCCTTATGAATTCTTCAGAATTCTAGTACTTCCTCTTTGATTCCTCGAAAATTCAAGCAACCACATAGTTCTCGCTTTCTTGAGGCTGTTAGTCCAAATTTTCTACCTAAAGATGTCAATTGTTCCTCCTTTTCTTATTATATATAAATAATTAGCATTAAGCCCCTAATGTAAGGCAAGCAGTATTCTAGGCACTTTACATGTATAATTTCATTTTGTTCTCACACCAACCCTCTGATGTTACCATTCCTATTTTCAGTGAGGAAACAGGCTCATAGAGGTTAATTACCAAAGGTTGCACAGCTAGAGGATTTGCAAAGTTGAAATTCAATTAGATATGTCTGATTTCAAATCGATTCAGTTTACCACACTTTATTCCATTCCTTGTGAATTATACTTGTGTTATAACATGCATCATTGTTACATGGGTTTGTCAGGCCATGGGTGAAATCATATTCTTTGATTAAAATAATCACATATAATATAAAATTATGGCCAAAAATGCAAAATGGCTAATCTATAAAACAAGTATTGATACTGTCCCACCTTGACTACATTTTAAAGAAGTTATATGTTTGGCAAACAGCATCAAATCCAATAAATAAAGTATAATCATGAGTTTCCATACTGACTGGAAGATAATTCAAGTTGCATATATTTGATAAGATGAAAAAACATTGATTGTACAAAAGATAAAAAACATTGATTATGCTATCTTTACTAATAAAATAGAAGCCTACCATAGTACTTAGGACCCAATATCATGGGCTTCCTTGTGGGTAAAATACATTACGATGAAATCCTCTTGAGCCCCCAATTTGTAAATCTCCACGTATAATATCTAAAAAGTATCTGCCGTCCATCACATTTTGCTTTAGAATAGGTGGCTTTATAACAAATTTCTGGCATGTTTTTATATCAGAGTAAATATTAATGAACAATGGGATTATTGCAATTAGATAAATTTATCAGCAATATGTTTATTTAGAGACAATACCCAATTACTGACAATTTGAATTTCTAGGGACTATTCCTATTTTTACATCACCTTAATTTTATGTACAGTTAACCCTTGAACAGTGTGAGGGTGAGGGGCACCAACCCTCTGCTCAGTGAGAAATCCACAGATAACTTTTGACTCCCCAGAACTTTACTACCCATAACCGACTGTTGACAGAAAACCTTACCGATAACACAAACGGTTAATTAATATACATTTTGTATGTTGTCTGTATTACATACTGCATTCTTACAATAAGCTGGAGAAAAGATGTTATTTAGAAAATCACAATGAAGGCAGGGCGCGGTGGCTCAAGCCTGTAATCCCAGCACTTTGGCAGGCCGAGACGGGTGGATCACAAGGTCAGGAGATTGAG